CAGAGACTTCGACCTCAAGCTTAAGCTGGCTCTCTTATGGAACTGCTTATTAATGAGTCTTGATATGCTCAATGAACACACTATCCAATACAGGCAAAAAGGCAGGTGAGTATTTTGTATTTCAGCCTGAAGACTCTGCAAATAAGAGAGGCCTAGGTAAGTATCAGTTCTGCTAGTAGTAAATTGCTGTAGAAACAGATCTAGGGAAAAGAGAGAGAAAGCACAAGAGTAATTCCATACGTAAGAAAATGACTTAAGAGTGTTCCTTGCCTTGTCCCTGTCATTTCTTACTTTAATATAAGTCCTCACATAAGTTTGACTGTAGGTAACATCAGGAGAGTGCACACTATCTCTGAAGGTTCTTAGTGATTGTGATAATAAGTCAAAGTGATAACTCACTTTACCAAGCACATGTAGACTAATTTTAATTTTTATATTATCATTTAATTTATTGTGGCTTCATTCCATAGGAAATTTTAGAATGGACATATAAGTTCATATAAGAATGTATAAGAAGAAGTACTGGGAAGTGCAGGATGTGAATATGTTTGTGGAGTGAAAAGATTTCATATGTGACACTGCACCTATACTCTGCTTACAGGTAGTAATGAGTCTGTATCAAATGATCATTGATACAATGTCTTCTTTGAAGCTTCTCCCTCTGGAATGTGGGAAGGTAATGTAGAAAGGAAGATTAAATATGAGTATTGAGCAATGACAGCCAGAACTAAGTGTGTATGACTTATTTTCCCTGGTTCAATCATACTCTAAGCACTGTTCATGGAACACAGGACCTTTTGCATAATATCATCCCAGTCTTCTAACCCTCTGATAAATTTGGATTCACACCTAGTGCTTTGTCTCAATCACAATGTTTAAGGTTTCACATTCTTTGGATTGTACTAATTATCTATTTGACTGAATCATAATTTTATTGTAATAAAATAATCAATATAGAAAATAGCAAATAATATAAGTATTTGTTGAAAACCTTTAATCCCAATATTTGTGTCTACATAGTGAGTTCCAGGAAAGCTAGAGCTATATAGTGAGACCCCATCATGAGAAAAATACATTTGAAAAAGCAAATACATGTTGAATTTTAAAGGAAATACTTTAATAACTTAATATTTATCTCCAGCTACTGTACAGGGTAATATTACTAGCAATTCATCTGCACTTTCTCCTAAAGATTTTATCACTTCATTGACAATAAATCATATATCTACTGGAATATTAAATATCAAGTCCATCTTGTGCTTCTGATATCAAACTGGAGAATTGGACAACACTGAAAAAACAGCATTTTATTAAGAGCTCAAAAGCATTAGTGTTTTGCATTATCCTATAAAATAAATTTTTATTTTAGAGTGAAAAACTATGCTTAAAATCATTTATATATCTATTTTCATTTTATGTGCATGCATGTTTTCCCTGCATAGATAGATAGATAGATAGATAGATAGATAGATAGATAGATAGATAGAAATAAAGATATATACGAACACTATTAGGATGCAGTGCCAATAGACTATTTCAGAACCCATGAAATTGGAGTTACAAGCAGTGTTATCCTTCATACCATGTGGGTTCTGCGAAAAAAAAAAAACAAACCGCAGATCCTCTGCAACAGCAAGTATCCCTTACCTTCTCTCTATTGCCCCCAAATCAAAACCTTTTTCAGCAATATGCATAAAATAAAATACAAAGTGAACAAAATGTCAAATGATGAACACAAAGTGTATGGAGGGCAGGAGTATATGGAAACATATCTCCTGGCTCTGTGAGCACACACTGAGGTGACAATATTTGTGCCACAGTAGCCATATTAAAGACCTTCAAGTATCCACTCTGTCTCTAAGCACGTTTTGTATTAAGTCTCACTTACTTTTTTGTGTTTCTAAGTTCATGTCTTGGCTGTGGAAGTAATGCTACTGTCCAGATCCTACAGTTATAAAAAGCAAAGAAAATATCAATCTGAGGGATAGCAACTTATACATTATCACTGGTATTTGCTAATCTTCACTTAACTAAAATATTTATATTTTCCATTTTACACTTAACTGTTTCCAATATGTTAAAAGTGAATATGAGTGACAGTATTGAATTTCAGTGGATGTGACCAGTTTGACCACACTGTACCCTTGTGTGCAGAATCCTATAAGCACCGAGACAAAGGTCCAACTTAGACCCAGTGACCTCACAGATCTCAGCTAAGGAGTGCTCTCCTACTTTGATGGATATTGGTCACTGTTTTCTTTATTTAATTTTGTGTCTTACTTTACTACATCAAATTCTGGAGGATATCCAAATACTGGATTCTCAAGCATGTGATGCAGATATTTATACATTGCAATCATACAACTCAGAATCCACAGCAACTCTTGGAATAAAGCTTCCTGTTAATTCTTGTAATTTTTTCCATCTTCACAGATGTGGTAGGGTAAGTCCACTGCCATCAATTTCCTAGAAATGTGACTCGCCTCTCAGCAAGCCAATACCTCAGGTAAATAGAACTTAAAAGCTTCCAAGAATGTTGGGTTTTCAACTGTCCCCTGTTGAACACTGTGTATCCTCGATTATGTCGGAAATCCTGCATAGAGAATCATCAGATAAAGCACAACATTTGTGATTCTGTTCTGATGGACATTTTAGTGAATTCATGCATAAGTTTCATTGGTCTCAAATATTAGATCATGTTTGTTGGGATATAGTCTCCAGTTGTAATTAATCAGTTTTGTGTGCAGACTCCAACTGCCACTTTCTTTCAACAAACTGAAACCAAACTGAATTTCTTTATTTTTTTGACTTGCATTTTTTCAATTAAGGCAAAAAATTCATAATCATACATCTCACAGAATTCCACAACTGAAATACCACTTGGAATCCAGTAGGTAAAGCATGAAAAAAATACTTTAATGTTTCCAAGTGGTTATGTGTTTGTAGAATTCTCGATTTCCTGTGTCTATATCGATTAAACATAAGGGTAATATACAGGTTGAAACTCCCAAGATGCTACCAGATTATAAACACAATTCTCCTATGATACAAAGAAATTTATTTTGGTTGTTATTCTAAGGGTTGTGGTTATAGTCATATAGGTTTGTATTTGTTTCAAGTAAGTAGTTTTCAGTGACAGGCACAGTCATTGCCAGGCCGTGATGTTGTTGTGTTTCAAGATGTATATCAAAATTTGATATTTTCAACAATTTTTTGTACACTTTTGGTTCATTTTAAATTTCTTTCACTTTTTTGGTTACTATTTTTAATTAGTTTCATTGTATCAGATTTCTTTTATACTTTTTACTATTTAGTATTTGATTGAACCAATTCTCCATTCTCCCTTCTTTCTGCACTAACTCCAGCTAATGTATTCCATGTATATTTCTCCTTCTACTCTCTTATCTTATGTGCTTTCTTACCTTTACAAGACTATCTCACAGAGGTATTTGATCCCATTTATGAGAGCCATTTTATTTATATGGATTTAAAATAGACTCACACCCATATATTCACACATTTAAAAAATAATGAGCTGAGAAACAGTATTGAGACAGAATCTACACTATTGATCTTTCTTAAGCTGCCTTTACCTAAGAAAGTGCTTTTTATTCACTGCTGTAGCCACTCTCTAGAATATTCTTCAGTGTCAGTTCATGGGGAAGGGAAGTCTATATCTGATAGTTCCTAAGGTCTCAGCTTATTTCTCTATATTCATGTAACTTCTACAGGTTCCTAACTTCACTGTCAATTCTGTCCCAGTTCTTTACTGTCTAGTTCACTGTCCCTGCATAGCTCATGAGTGTGTAGCATATTTTTTCCCACTGGGGTTTCTTAGTTGAACCTGGTGCTGACTCAGTTGTTACTGTCAGACATTGCAATGGGATTGCTCCTGATCTGAAAAGAACTTGATGACAAGTTGACTTTCAGTAATAAAGTGTGATGTTTTGAGATTTTTCTCCCACTGCACTGCATGGATGGGCTAAATCACTGTGTTCTTTCTCACTATTTCCACTGTAATCTTTTGAGTGGTACACTCAAAGAGATTACACTTACAGTTTCTCCCATTTATTTATTTATTTATTTATTTATTTATTTATTCACTTTACATCTTGGTTGCTACCCATTCTTCCCCTCCCCTTCAACTCTGAGAGGGTGGACACCAACTGGGAATCACCCTGGCACATCAAGGCTCTTCAGGGCTCGGTGCATCCTCTTCCACTGAGGCCAGACAAGGCAGCCAGTGAGGGGAATGGATTCCACAGACAGACAATAGCTTTAGGGAAAGCTCATGGTACAGATACTATGAGATTGGATCACATAGGATGATCTCAGGTATCTAATAGTACAGGTCTGAGTGTGAACATATGCATGTGTGTCTATGTGCTGTAACATTGCATAAGAGCTACTTCATAAATTAATAATATATATGGTGTCACTTGACCCATCATTTAAATGTTTTATACTCTTAATAAAATTTTCTTATCTATGAATATATATATATATATATTCTGAATGGTATTACTAATTTTTCATGGTCTACCATTTAATATTAGGTAAAATGTACTTTAAGAATTGATATGTTTGAGGTTGATAGTAGTCACTAAATTTGTCTTCCTTTATACCATGACTAGAAAATACCAATATTTCATTACAGTCAGGGATTATACTTGTTAGTGCTGGTTCTTTCTTTTCATTGCCTCTCACAGGCCAAATAATCTTGTATGTGATGCTTCATATTATAAGACTATGAAGGCATCTTTCGGATTCATAAGTTTGTCCTGAAATCATCAGCAATCTTACAATATTGTGTTGTATGCAAGTATGTATTATAAGTTACAATTGCTACTGTCAGGAACTCCAAGTATTGTTACAGTACATAGAGTATATAGACTAGAGTCTCCGCTGACATTGTATTCCTGAGTTTTAAGGATTCCTCTGATTTAGCCTCTCAGTAGTTCTTCAGATTGTTAATACTTTTCATTCATTTTGATGCAAAAATGGGTGTGGCCATAATTTAAAGAAAACCAAGCACAACCACAGAATGGACTTCTGGAATCTGGCAATCAAAATACTTTTCTTATCACAAACTACAACTGGAATTCTAGGAAATTTCTCTCTTCTTATCTACTATCTAGTCTATTATATAGAACATGTGTTAAAGCCCGTAGATTTGATCCTCATGCACCTAATCGCATCCAATGCCTTGATAGTTCTCTCTACAGGAATGCCCCAAACATTGGCAGCTTTTGGGTTAAAGCAGTTTCTAAACAATTTTGGATGCAATTTACTTGTGTACATTCAAAGTGTTGGCAGGAGTGTGTCCATTAGTACAACCTGTCTCTTGAGTATCTTCCAAGCCACCACCATCAGTCACAGGAAATCTTGTTGCAAGGATCAAAAAGCCACAGTTGCAAAGTACATTGGCTGTTCTGTTTCCCTTCTCTGGGTTTTGTCCATGTCTCTACATTTCATTTTCCTTGCATACATTCTTATCAAAAGGCATAGCAAAAACATGACAAGAAACCGAGATTTGGAGTACTGTTTGACTGAAGGGGGTGAGGATGCCATCAGTTCCTCACTCTATACAGCATTAGTGGTGTGCCCTGAAATCTTCTTTTCTGTGCTCATTGCCTGGTCCAGTGGCTTGATGATTGTCATTCTGTACAGACACAAGCAGAATGTTCAACACATCCACAGCAGTACTGTTTCCAGCAGAAACTCATCAGAATCCCGAGCCATCCAGAAGATTCTAGTCCTGGTGTGTATCTTCCTGGCATTTTTTACTCTATCTTCCATCTTAAGAGGCTGCATTGCTTTTCTGCAAAATCGCAATTGGTGGCTGCTGAACATCAATCGCCTTACTTCTCTGTGTTTTCCATCCTTTGGACCCTTTGTTCTTATGAGTCATTACACTTTTATGCAAAGACTCAGTTTGATCTGTATATGTAATAAAATTTTCTAATCTGTTTTTAATTGCATATTATATTTATTTACATATCAGATGCCTTCCCCTTTCCCCATTCCTCCTCCCTAGAGACCTCCTATCCCATCCCCCTTCCTCCTTTTGCCTTTCATACCATTTTAATTACATGCAAGTATTAAGGTCAGTTCTAGGTTGAGGAACTAGCAATACAATAGATGCAAATAGTCAAAGAACAAGCAAGACAATAAACACAAATACTCAAAGAACAAACAAGGCAATAAACAAAATTCCATGAATGCTCCCATGATCACTGTTTCTAAGGGCTTATCAGGATGACCAAAATATCTGAGCCAACTTCCCTGTCCTAGTCCAGTCATTTTCATGTTGGAAGACATTCTTGGTAGAATGACCTAAGACAGGCTCAGTCTTGTTTATGAAATAAAAAGGGAAAGAGGCAGAGAGCTTTTGGGGCTGCTTGGCAGGAATATGACATTGGCCAAGGACAAGGAAGTGGGCCTTAGGGAGAAAGTTGACATTAGTCTAGGACAAAGAAATAATTTCAGGCAGGAATCTAAATCTTAGGCTAGAAAAAAGAAGTAATTTCAAGTAGGAATCTAAATTTTATGCTAAAATTTCCTAATCTTATTTAAGTATTTAAATGATATATTTTACTTAGTTTCCAATTGTTGGCTCACAATCTTCATCAAAAGGTCAATAAAGAGAATTAAATCATAGGACCTTGTCTTTGTTAAAGTTATCCAAAATAAAAATAAGAGTTTGTCAGTTGGTTCAATCAGTAGCCTAAATGAGCTTATCATGTTATGATGACCATTGCACTCTGGAGAGTCTTCCTTTTGCTCATCTGATGTATAAATGAGACAGAAAAAAAAAAACTGCCAATAGAACTGACCTTCTTGTTGCTTTCATCATCAGGCAGCTAGGCTGCTAAAAATTTCACAGACATCCTGACAGTCCTACATCTAAAAGGAGAGAAAACTGAGACCATGACTGGCCAAGTTGTTCTTCAGGAGGCCTTGGTCCTATCTTAGTTGCTGTAGCCTGCACCAGACCTATTAAAAAATAGGATTACATCTTTTACTTCATACAAAAATCAGTTCAAAATGAATGTTGTTTTTTGACATGAATTGAAGTCTGTTGGATAATATATTTTTCAGAGATTTTTCATCATCTGGGATATTTAACTATAAATTTTCTTGGTTGTTATTCTGTTTTTTTAAATCTGGTTTGGCATCATTGTAATGCTATATTCATCAGAAGAGCTTTAAATAAATTAATATAGACATTATGGAAATCAGTTTTGTGATATCCTAGGATGTGAAAAATGGAACTACTATTTGACCAGCTCTTCTATTCCTGGGCTTGTACTCTGAAAATTCCATATAATAACATAGAAACATTTGCCTATCAGTGATCATTGCTGATCTGTTTATTGTAGCTATGAAGTAGATCTTTCCTATGTATCCATAAACAGAAAAATCAAATACTCAATTTTTCACATACAAAATGGACTATAATTCTACCACTGTAAAAGATGGAATCACAACATATGCAACATATGTAGGAAAATTGATTGATTGATTGATTGATTGATCGATTGATTTTTGATGGATAAAATTAAGCCATATCACCCAAATCAGAAAGAAAAATGATCACATGTAGATCACGCAGATCCTATAATGTCTAGGCATATATATGCAAAGTGTAACTTCAGTTATAATATTTCTAAAGCATACCTAGAAACATAATATTAGGTGATGGGCAGGTGAAATTATCCAGAATTTAAACCAGAGGATATACAATAATGTTTTGATTTTCAATTTATTGTCAATTGTCATCAATTTATTTTGTTGCTGGTACATAGGAGTAGACAAATAAAATTGGTACTCAGAGTATAGAACCTTAAGCAAAGCACTATGGCTACATCATTATTGTTCTGTCTGTAGTTCACTGAAATGTACAGAAATTTGGCCGGAACAAGTATTCCCGTTATTAGCTATTTCATTGTAGTTTTTAATGCTTTTATTTATGTGTTCATGATGTATAAACTATCTTTGGAGTATGATTATTATAGTGGAACTTACCATAGTTTCACCTCCATAATAAACACATCAGTAGAAATATAAGAAACACATAATCCTGGAACATATAGGATGTAAGTCTGTTACTAGAGTAAAAGGTATTCTTATGTAAACCTACATTTATGAGTCATAGATGTAATGAAAATAGTACATAATTCCTGTGGTGTTATAAACATGGGGTCCATCCTGTGCTTGTAAAATTAAACTTGGAGATAGGATAGTTTTTTGTTGTGGCAGACCATATTTAGAGCATTGCGTTTTAGTAAAACTCAGAGGCTTATTGGCACTTGTATTTGCCTATTAAATAAACCTTTATTTCAGTATAAGAAAATATTATTTAAAGATTTATTTTAATCTATTTTATTTTGTGTGCATAATGTTTGGCCTGACTGTATGTATGTGTATTATGAGAATATAGTTTCTGCAGAGGATAGAAGAGATTGTCAAACCCCCAGGGAAATATAGCTGCAGACAGATATGACCTTCCTTGTGGATTCCAGGAAGCAACTTGGTTCCTCTTCAAAAGGAGCAAGTGGTCCTTACCTTGAAGACCTCCGCAGAGGGGAGACCCTCACTCAAGTCTCAGAAAGTCGCGACCACCAAGTAATCTGCTCGAGACACCATGTACCGGAGCAATAGCGAGGTTTATTAGGGTGTGACAGCTAGCTGCCGGTCAATTTGTATGCCCACGCAGGAGCTGAATTGACCCCGACAGCCAGTTTGAGAGGGGCTTTTAAGGGGAAAAACCACAAACCAAGGAATGGGGAGGGGGCTCATGGTTGTTAGGTGGCATAACATAAAAATAGTAGAACATTCCAAAGGAACCCAACCTACATGAGTCAGTATCAGGTGAAAACTCTCTGTACGCTTATCTTTCTCAAGAATGTGGTCCTGCCCTGTCACTGAGGCCTTGCCCTGTCACTGCGGTTCTCAGCTTGGTTCCCAGCTTGGTTCCACCTAGTTCACTTGCATTCTTTCCTTTCTCTTTGCAGATAGGCCAGTTCCAGTAATGGTGACTGGTCTTTCCACATTCCTAACTTGCTTCATGGCTCAGTTTCTCAGAAAATTTTCCATGTCCTTATAAAGAAAGCCTAAAGAATATTTTATATGTCTAAAAAGGATTCTATATACCCAGTATCTATAAGTTTTCACTCTACAACCTCAGAGCGATCTCTCTAGATTCTCCAAATAAAAACTTTTTACGACCAAAATCATACAATAAGTATCATCAAAGCGAACCGAATATCAAGTTGGGACACAAATTGCATTTAAGACTAGACAGAGTCTGAAAATGTAAATCATGACTTTGTGATCAGGGGCTTTTCAACTAAATTATTCATTTTTTCTTTTTTAATTGGATATTTTATTTTCATTTCAGAAGTTATCCACTTTCCCCATCCCCGCCCCAGAAACCCACTATCCCATCCCCCCTCCTCCTGCTTCTATGAGGATGTGCTCCATTCACCCACCCACTCCCACCTCCTCGCCATCGAATTCCCCCACACTGGGTCATCCAGCCTTCATGGGACCAAGGACCTGCTTTCCCACCTATGCCCAAAAAGGACATCCTCCCCTACATACACAGCTGGAGCTATGGGTCTCTCCTTAAGTACTCCCAGGCTTTAAACCCTGGGAGCTCTGGTTGGTTGTTATTGTTGCTCTCCCCATGGGGCAGCAAACCCTTTCAGCTCCTTCAGTCTTCTCTCTCACTCCTCCATTGGAAATCCCATGATCAGTTCAATTGTTAGGTGAAGCATCCCCTCTCTATATGTCAGGCTCTGGCAGACCTCTAAGACCTTCTTGTAACAACTCTGACAGAAAGAGCTTTTGTATTTAAGTAGTCAGTTTTATGTTGTTTCTACTTCTGGTCTTGACAGTGGAAATTAATCTACCATCAATATTAGACAGCTATAAAAAAATCAAAGAATATGTCCAACTTTATACTAGTGACTCACAAATTGCTATTGCTGATTTCCATTTATATAGATAATTAATAAAAAAATCTCATTCATTATAATATTCAGAATATATGAAGAGAGAGTACAGAAGAAACAATAGAAAACCACCATGAAATATAACTTATAATCCACAGAAACAGACTGACCTAAGATTGAATATGGAGATGAGGTCTTTATCATAAGTTCACTACTGGATTCTATGAAGATTAGCAACACTCTGTATCTGTACTGACTCTATTGGAGAGTCTTCAGATGAAGAAAGAAAGGTATTTTTCATAGCCTTGCTCATGTGGTCTCAGAAAATTTTTCCAGTGTGGTTAATATAAGAGCATTGGAAGCAGAGAAATTAAACAATGCAACTTATAACTTTCCCCTTGAGACAAAAAGTACACATAACAATCTATGGCAGATAAATAACCATGACTGACTGACTCTTCTCAGTTACTGGAGACATGTTACTTCTGGCTGATATTTCAGTTAACATAAAGGACTTAAGATTAAAGAAAGAGGTCAGGTGTGATTGAGAGAACTGGACATGTGAGAAGGAGTTTTTGCTCTCTAGTTCGCTAAGTAGAATAATGTAGTATTAACATTTAATAAATAAATTCTGGGGCGTGGCCACTACCAACCTCACTGGTTTATGTTTTCAAATGAAACACACACACACAGCCTTTATATTTTAATATGCCTTATGCAGCAGAATAGCTGGGCAGCTGCCTAACCTCTGTGATGGTAAAATCTACCTTCCACTGATAATTCTGACTTACTACTTAATTTTATGTTCTGTCTTGGGTGCTGTACACCCAGTTGGGCACCCCTCTTAGCAGTGCTCTACCAGCTCCCTCACATGGCAGCTATGCCTCTCTGTCCTGTACTCTTTTCCAGTATGGCATCTCTCCTTCCCTTCACACTCTCCCAACATCCAGATCTTTTCCTTCTGCTCCCAGTCCCAAACCCAGGAATCCTAAAATCCTACTGCTGT